CATTCTAACCCCAAAACTATTGCAAAAACATTAATTTCATTAATTACTGGACCGAATCCGACCCTGAATTCATCCATTACCAACCCACGTCCATAACTAACCTATTTGTGCCTCGCCTTCCTGCATAAATACCGTCAAACATTTCGACTCCCCGCACCTATCATTTCATGCAGAAATCCTATGGAACCAACATGACAATACACTTAAACGGTTCTCTCTATTTCAGTGCAATTCCCATAAATATACGGAGATTACACTATTACAGTTTGGGTAAATGAATCTATGAAGCAGAGATGGATTTACGAAGTGATCAAATAGTATAACGGATTCTATTGTATTAGATTTATTATAAATTTATGATTGCTGTTTCACTGAGTAAAGAAATTAGGAATGATGAGGAGATTAATCAAAGTTCATAAATCATTAAAAACATTATTTATAACAAAACAAAAGTTTATACTAAACTGAACTGCTTATTTATTATTTTTACTGAGATTTTACCACAATTTTAGTTGAACATATTTATTTTGACTTAGATATTATTATAATGTCACTTTCTGGAACAAGAATTATAGATGGACACCATATCTATTATTCTGAAGGCTACACAACGAGAAATAGAAATGGAGTAGCGATAATAGTTAAAAAGGGAAAAAGCTAAAGCAGTAATAGGATTTACACCCATATCAGACAGAGTTGTGCTATTGAAAATGAACTCAAATCTCTCTAATATAAACATCATTTAGGTCTACGCACAGACATCAGAATCCACTGAAGAAGAAATAGAAAATTTCTATCAGACTCTAGAAGACTCTCTCAAACTGACCAAAAAACAAGAACTTACTATTATCATGGGCGATTTCAATGCCAAAATAGGAAAAGGTATACAATAGTTATACATGGAAAGCACCCAGTGATACCACAGGGAAAATCATAAGAAAGCAAATTGATTTTATCAACATAAACAAAATGATTAGAAATTCTCATTCCTAATCCCTAAATTCTTATTCCTAAATGAAAACATATCCCGGCACAGATCTCTGCTTAGATCATAGTCTATTGGTTGCAAATATCAACACACGACTCAAAATAATTCATAGGAAAATGAGGCCTAAGATAGATATAAGACTAGATACTAGAAGAAAATGATATCCAGAAAAAGTTAAAAACAGAAATTAAGAATTTTGCGAAAATAGTTGAGGACACTACTAGAGGCATAGAAGAATATTGGAACGAAATGACGACATCTATTACCACAATTTAGCATGGATATCTAAAATCAAAAAGAGAAAAGAAGCTAGAATGGATGACATAAAATATTGCAGATGGTGGAAGAGCGAAGAAAATTAAAAGGTAGTAATGTCAATGAATACAAAAGTTGCAGAAGACTATACTTAAGAAGATAAAAGGAACAAAAGAAGAATGGCTGACTAAGAAATGTACAGAAATTGAAACACTACAATGCCAACATGACGATTTCCATATGCACAAAAAAATTAAACAGGTACAGAACACCAGAAAACAACGCAATACAGGCATAGCTGTAGACATTGAAGGCCAGATTTATTTTGCCTACCATTGAAGAATAATTACGAAGATGGAAATAATATATGTAATAATTATTGGAAGATGCAGTACGAAGATTGTCTGAAATAAACAATCCCTACGCCCCAGAAATAACAAACGAAGAAGTAAATATGGCCATTAAGCGGATTAAAGATAGGAAATCACCTGGACCTTATGAGGTGCATGGTGAAATTTTAAAGCTATTAGAGACACACCAAAACACAATCTTTACGAGATTGGTAACTTACCAAAAGACTGGCTACTATCAACATTTATTCTACTTCCTTAAAAAGCCAACCTTCTCAAAGGTCTCAAAATGAACCTTCAGAAAACAAAAATAATGAGTAATTTACAAACTAATCTTGTTATTGACAACGTCATTCTTGAAAATGTAGACCACTATATATATCTTGGACATACCATTAAAATCGGCAAAGAAAATCAAATAGCCGAAATAAAAAGACGCATACAACTGTCTTGGGGAGCTTTCGGCAAATTAAGCTTTATTTTGAAGAATAAAGATATACCAATGTGTTTAAAACGTAGAGTTTATGACAAATGTATCTTGCCTGTAACTACATACGGACTGGAGACCATGGCCTTCACAAAGAAAACCTTAGAGCAGCTAGTACAACCCAAAGAGCAATGGAGAGGGCCATGCTAGGGATTAGTTTGAGAGACAGGATTCGAAATAACGTCATTGGTGAAAGAACAAAAATTACTGATGTCTCAGAACGTATTGCAAGGCTCAAGTGGCAATGGGTCGGACACGTTGCCCGAGATCATCCCGAAAAATGGACACAAACATTAACAAACTTGAGACCAGGAAAGAACAGGCGAGGAGTAGGCAGACCGCAGAAGAGGTGGACAGACGATATCAAACAAGTTGCGGGCAAGCAGTGGATGAGAATTGCCAAAAGTAGAAATCGATGGAAGCAAATGGAAGAGGCCTATGTCCAGCAGTGGATAAATACAGGCTGAAGAAGAAAAAGCCAACGCTAGAAACTGTGAAGAACATAGATTAATTAGTTTGATGAACCATATACTTAAAGTATTCCTTACTATAATTCACTCGCCTACACCAAATTAGAAGAACACCTGATTGAAATTCAATTTGGATTCAGTAGAGCAGGACTCGGAACGAGAGAAGCACTTTTTAGTTTGCAAGTTTCAATTCAGAGAGCCAGGGATGTCAACTGCGATGTGTATGCATATTTCATTGATTTCGAGAAGGCATTTGATAAAGTCCAACATGGGAAACTAACCGATATCCTAAAAACATCAGGATTCGATGGTAAGGATATAAGACTGACCTCAAGGTTATATCTTTAACGAAAAGCAACAGTGCGATTAGAAAATGTACTGTCCGAGATCTTCACATTCGAAAACGGAGATAGACGAGGTTGCATATTGTCACCGTCATTATTTAACATATACTCTGAAAACATCTTTAGAGAAGACTTCGGCGAATAGGAAGATCTCTCTCTTCAATCCTGACCCCCCAGGGGGAGTGTAGTGGTCGACGTGATGTCGTGTATTGTCCGTCTCCAGAGATCTCTGTCTCTGGTCATTTCTTTTAATTCATGCATAGGTCTTTGGCATATTCCTGTAATTTGATCTATCCATCTTGTTGGGGAGCTTCCTCGTGATCTTCGGCCTTCTACCTTTCCTTGTATTATGAGTCTTTCCATGTTTTCTGTGTTTGCTCTCATAACATGCCCAAAGTATTTTAATTGGGATTATAATAATATACCCAATTAATTGGGATAATATTTTAATTAATATGAAGATGGGATTGCTGTAAATGCCAACTTATAAACAACATTATAAATGAACTGTCCGAGAATTTCACAGTCGAAAAAGGAGATAGACGGGGTTGCATATTGTCACCGTCATTATTTAATATATACTCTGCAAACATCTTTAGAGAGGACTTAGACGAATACAAAGATAAGATTGCTGTAAATGCCAACTTATAAACAATATTAGGTATGCAGCCGATACATTGTTGCTGGCAGATAGTACGCAGGGGCTCCAAATGATGATGGATAACGTTGTAGAAACATGTAACAAATACAGCCTAAAACCAAATTGCATGGAGACAAAAATAATGATAATTAGTAACAATACCAACATAAACGCCATAAACACTGGCACCATTAAAAAGGGTTGACAAAATATGCTTTTTTAGCTGCAATATTAAGGATACTTGGGATCACAGCTACAAAACTCGTATTGAAAAAGCCAGAAGCTCTTTCAACAGCCTTAGGAAGATTATCTGCAATGTATTTTTAATTAACAATATACGCATAGGAATTCTTACAGAAGAAAGCTGGAAGCCTTACAGAAGATGGCATAAAACGATTAAAGGCATTTGAAATGTGGTGCTACCGACGTATGTTGAAGGTCTCATATATACACCACACAAGTAACAACTATTCTCCAGAGGCTAAGAAAAGACAAAGAAATTATTAACATCGTAAAGAAAAGAAAATTGGCTTAATTCCGCCACATCAAGCGTAATAATACCGACTTCTACAGTTGATTCTACAAGGCAAGAATGAGGGTAAAACAGGCTCTTGACGTAGACCTATATCCTGATTGGAAAATCTTAGGAAGAAAGAAGAAGGAAGAAGTAAGAAGGAAGAAGGAAGAAGGAAGAAGGAAGAAGGAAGAAGGAAGAAGGAAGAAGGAAGAAGGAAGAAGGAAGAAGGAAGAAGGAAGGAGGAAGAAGGAAGAAGGAAGAAGGAAGAAGGAAGAAGGAAGAAGGAAGAAGGAAGAAGGAAGAAGGAAGAAGGAAGAAGGAAGAAGGAAGAAGGAAGAAGGAAGAAGGAAGAAGGAAGAAGGAAGAAGGAAGAAGTAAGAAGGAAGAAGGAAGAAGGAAGAAGGAAGAAGGAAGAAGGAAAAAAGTAGACGGAAGAAGGAACCGGGAAGAAGAACAATTCTACATGTTATGCTACAGGATAATGTTATATGGGTTTATATTAACAGATATCTTAACTTAAATTTAATATGAGAAATTAATTATTGTCATTGAGAAATTTTATGTTAATTGGAAATTATAGTCTATTCTACAAAACTCATGTGCTCCTTAATTATAATATTCTATACCTGAACGGGTTATATAAGTACCCACACTCTGATTTATTAAAATTACTGCAACACTAAAAACAAAAAAAAACAAATAATTTTGAAATTATTTGTTACATGTTTATGCCATTACCTTGCAGATTATCAGCTATGTCATAAAAACTGTAGTATCAATAACTTTCAAACAGAGTATAAACATCGAATTATGTCAAAATCGAAGATTTTGAAATAATTCGATGGTATTAATTGAAAAATAAGTCAATAGTTACCACCTCACAAAAACAATTAATACCGTTTAAAAGAAATATAAAGAAAACATCATCAAACTTATTGCAATTACTTACTCGTTTAAGCCTAATTTCAGTACATCTCCTGCCTTGCGTAAAAGTCCATGCGCTTCAATGTTTGTTAATTTTTTAGTGCCTTGACCGTTGATGGACGAAATCAAATCTCCCTCTCGGATTCCTCTAAGCGCAGCTTTACTCCCCGGATTAACCTGCAACAATATACGCAAGTCTGTATTACGAGTTGTCTACATCGTAGTAATACTAACACTGGCGACTAATAATATCCACCCACATATTTTTCAATTTCGGATAGTTTTAAAGCACATTTTCTTTCTAAATGAAAATTGTTGCATGCTTGTAATAAAAAATAGTTATAATACAGCAAATGAACCTAGTACAAATACATATTCTACAATTTTTTTATTTGATGCTATATTTTGTTAGTTAGAATGGAACATAAAATTAACAATTTTCCTAAAATTTCTATTTAATTTTTATGTCTAATCTAGTACGGTGTCAGTGAACGTCAAAATGTCACAAACTATAGTAATTTTTAAAGAGTATAAACCTTATATTCACAATGGTATCGACAATCTACACTCAGATGCAAACGCAAGATGGAAAATTTTGATCAAATTCAAAGTATTTCAGTTTTTTTATCTTTAGCCCTATTTTGATGATTATGTGTAAAAATTTGTAGATTTTAATTTAGTATAGTGAGCTTTTTATTAAAATTTTGTATTTGACTTATTATACGGGGTTAATCGAAAGATGGTTTTTTCTCCTAACTTTGAAAAATCCCTTGGAATAATTCTGTTAGCACATTTTCGTAAAACCTTGTTTATCTGTTGCAGTTATGTTTCTAAATATTATGTATTTGTTTCATGTGAATATATGGATTGTTTCATTTTTAAGAGCGAAATAACTTTGCCACCCACAATTTACTTCTTTTCCTATTATTACCATTATTTTTTGTAATAATTTGTAATACGACGATGGGGGCTTTTATGACTGATATCGAAGGAATGTCATATCGACATCCCAGAAGCACTGTATTTAAATAATGATTAAAAGTAACGACATGATCTTGGTTTTAATGAAAAATGATAACAATACTACTCAGATCGAGTACAATAGTACTCGATCTAAATATATTTTTTTTTTATTTAGCGTCATAGAATGGATATATACATTTACATGTATACATTATACAAATTATTTGAGTCTAGTTATATACAAACAAATGTCTAGTTTTTTATATATTCTAAATACTCTTCGGTTGCCAATACGAAGTCTTTAGGATCGCCTGTGTATTCTCTGCGTGGGTAGTTTGATACTGTCAGAGAACTATGTGTTCGTAGTTCTCTGATACTGTGCGCTGTGTGCCTTACCAGAGAATCGTAGTTCTCTGGCCTACCGTCTGTCTGGCAGCGCTATAATCACAGGAAGGCGAGGGACGTTTACCCCATCTGTAGATGAAGTCGCCGCATCTTCCCAATTTTTTCTGATTCGGTTAAAGGTTACCCAATTCTTACTGATACGTTGAAATCCGTCAGGCTTATTTGTGATGTTCGTAGACTATGTTAGTGCGGATCTGTTTTACTTTCCTACTTTTCTCTCTATCTTTCAAAAGTCAAAATTGGAATGATGTAAGGCACGCTTGCGTGGGTTTTAAGGGAGGATCGGAGATGGTTTCCAAGAGTATAAAAAATGTCGTGGACTAGGAATTGACGATCATCCAGAATTTAGGTTGGTTGGAGCTGTTAGGCAGAGCTATGTTGTAAGGGTGGGTAGCTACATTGTGGGGTGAGCATAATTGTTCCTGTTAACAGCACGGTTTAGCTGAGTATTACCCAGCCGTATAAGCCTGCTGCTTTATCGCACCGATGTACAATATTCTGCCACCTGATTTATCAGGCCAAGAGCGGAGGATCTTAAGGTTGGTGTCCCATATATTGTCACAGGTTTTCTGTATTATTTTGTTGCGTGTTTTTAGTTTTGTTAATGTTTTCAACAGGTGTCCTCTGAATGTGAGCGTTCTGTTTAGAGTAACCCTATGGTTATTTTAGATAAGTCCCTTAAGTATATTTAAATAAAAAATAGTGTTAATATATATCTGCAAATAAATTGAGAGTAACCCAAAGAAAAATGGAAAGAGCAATGTTGGGAATAACTAGAAGAGATTTGGTACCCAATAGGATAGTGAGAGAGAGGACTAAAGTGACAGATGTCATAGAAAAAATTGCACAAGCCAAATGGAGATGAGCCGGACATATAGCACGTTTAAATGATAATAGGTGGACTAAAAGACTCATAGAATGGAGACCTAGAGAAGACAAAAGACACCGAGGCAGACCACCAAAAAGATGGATGGACGACTTGAGAAAAACAGTCGGAAATTGGATACAGAAGGCGCAAGATCGAGAACAGTGGAAGAACATGGAGGAGACCTATATTCAACAGTGGATGCAAGAGGTTGAGGAATGATGATGAATGTTAATATACTGGCCAAAAGTACTTTAATATACCTGAAAAATGTCTGCGAAGTACTAAATACAATTTCAAGTACCTGCATTTTGCAAAGCAGAGTGGCATACACATTTTAGAATACGTGTTAACATTGTAAAAATTAATTCAGAAATAGATATAAAAATTAGACAGACAGACAATAAACTCAAAAAGTATTTAAGCAAAATGACCAAGTGTTTACGAACAAATGCAGACGTTTATAAAAAAATATAGGATTAAACTAATTTTGGAAATATCTTGAGTGTCATGTTTTAATGTCAGTTTAGTATTTTACATCTTTAGGTATATAGCCGACTTCCGCCTTAGAGTAAGGAATTTTACCGAATCAACGAATTTACGAGTAAAAATCCCTACTCTAAGACTTCCGCTCAGTCTACACAATACTAATGTGAATGAAAACTTATGTTACAAACTAGATCTAATGTATTGTTTTTATTTTTATAAGCAGAGATATAATATTCTATTGTTACAATGTAAAGCGACCAACAAAGAAACATATTTTCTTACGCGCCGTCAATAATCGAATTCAAAATTTCAGAGAATGAATGATAGACACGTGATTTCGGCTACTTTTGGCTACTTACGACGCGTGATTTGTGATTTATAGGTTTATTTAATATTTGCCAGACTATAGAAACCCTACCAATACCAATGGTATTGTCCTGTCTGTATATAGCATCACTTTGTTATGGACATATAGTAGCTCACAAAAATAAATGGTCAAAGATTTTTTTAATTTGTGTTTCCATCCAGTGCTAATATCTTCTTATATTTTTAAATAAACTGATTTACCTCTAGTCTTTATTTATCGATAAGTATTTTAAAGGGTAAATATGGTAAAGGAAAATTATTAACGCTCTGCAATACTAAAAAATTACAAACACATCCAAATAAATACACTATACATTTTATAATACGTGTTAGTCTTATTCGTTGTCCATTAAAGATAAATTTACACTGGGGTGGTATGAGCCATCCCCCGAGATTATAAATGATATATGGTTAATAAATTATGATTAATCTTCCTTCACTAAATGCTCCATATCTAATCGCCCGGACGTTGGCTATCACGGTTTTAAAGATTATTGCCGTCTGCAATAAGAAATCTAAACGTTTATCTGGTGCCGGATGTTTTTGATTAGAATGTATGGATCTTATAGTGCTAAGGGCTCTTGTCAGTATGCTTATTTATTGTATAATATAATAATAAAGACTCTGGAGAGAGAGATAAAGATAGAGAGAACAAGAAAAAAAGCTATGAATTTCTAAGCAATATTTTATTGTTTTTCCTTTTTTTTACTACCTGCCTTTACTGAACAACCAGAAATATTTACAGATAAAAAGAAGAAGAAGACGAAAGAAAAAAGACTATTTTATAGATTTTTATAACATGCTTTTTCGAAATTAAAATATCAAAGAACTTAAATAAAAATTAAATCACTTAGATCACATAATAAATGAGCGCATAGAGAATATTGCATAATAAACCTCAGTTATCGCTTTACCGGATTAAGTAGCTTCAAAGGCACCGATTTATAGATTGTGAGATTAATTGAGACTACATTGTTTGATGATTGCGAATTTAAAATATATTTTTCGATTGGTTATGGTAATGATGGTCATTCATTAGCCAAACCAATAAACATATTTATAACATAACAACAGTTTACATTTAATACAGTTTCGATTTGATTGGAAATTTGAACTACTTATTGGTTATATCGGTTTATTATTATTCTAAATTGGAAGCTGCCTATAATGTGAAAATTTATATGAAATGAGATACACTCATGGACAAAAATATCGAATATTTTGGAATTTTACAAATTTTTTTTACTATTATTTCAAAATAATTTCATATTATTGATGATACTCATATAGTGGATAATTTTTCGACTGTTCTAACAACCATTCAAATTTCGTCATTTTGTGTCATGTGGCACAATTTCACCCAATCATGTCAACATTAGACTGATAATTGCATTCAGTGCAATTTTCAATCCCTATGACAACACGATCGAGTTTGACAACTTCATCCAAATAAATTTCAAAATGTCACGTTTTGGCAATGAGAATGTTCAAAGTATAAATGCGCTAATCAAAGAAAAAATTCTAATGTTAACTTAAATTTTAATAATTGTACTTTCACTAACTGTACTTTTAATAAATAAATGTTTCGTTATGTTGTGTTATGATTTTTTTTTTTTCGAAAAATCATCCTCCGAATATCCCTCGGACATTGATGAATGCCTCATAATTTCATGACAAATTTCTCAAGCTCGTTGCTTGGTAACAGCACTCTGCCTTCGGCTTCGTTCTGTTACCAAGGAACGAGCTTTCGATTATCATGAAATTATCTCGTCTGTTATCAATGTCCTTGGGATATTACTACTGATAATGTACTCAATTGGTTTGACGTTTATTTTGATGTTTATTCAGCGTTGAAAGTCATTCGTACATTTTATCATAAAAAACCTTCTTCACGTACAGGACAAATCACACTAACTTGGTTATTTTTAGTTTAATTTATTAAGTTTAATTAATTATTGTTTTAATTTAACAAAGTTTAAAACAAGTACCAAACTTTACGAAATTTAACTAAGTTTAAAACAAATACCACCAATTCGACACTACGATGGAATAAAAGTAGCGCAGATTGTAATTTTGTACGAGAAAGTAT